CTAAGGTTGGGTCAAGTGGTGGTCACACAGGGTCAAAGATCTCTTGTTGACAGACTCTCTCTCTCTCCCTTATGCCCGGTTGTCTGTTCCATCTATTGTTTACATAACGAAGGCCCAGGTGTGTACCAGGTATATTTAGCTTTATTAGGGTGTGTTTGATAGGTTATATATAAAGAATGTGATGGAGGTACAGTAAGCCAGAATAAGGCTAATAAAGGCTACAGTGAGTCAACAGGTATATTTAGCTTTATTAGGGTGTGTTTGATAGGTTATATATAAAGAATGTGATGGAGGTACAGTAAGCCAGAATAAGGCTAATAAAGTCTACAGTGAGTCAACAGGTATATTTAGCTTTATTAGGGTGTGTTTGATAGGTTATATATAAAGAATGTGATGGAGGTACAGTAAGCCAGAATAAGGCTAATAAAGGCTACAGTGAGTCAACAGGGTTAGGTTTATCTACTATTTGCTTCCTACTAATGTGACAACAGTTGATGCTTGTTTCCTATGTACAGTGACTAGCTATGTCTCATCTATGTCCCAGCCTTTCCTTCCTCGGGTCATTTATAGAGTAAATGAAGGAGAGAATTTTCCGTAAAATTCTGACTCTGGGAACAATTTCAATTCCGGCCATCGGAGAGTTCCGGGTTTGAGGGATTCCGGCCAACGGAGATATTACTGTATTCCCTTTATGTATTTGTCCTTAAAACAATTATTTCTTTTACTTTTTGTCACAATATGTATGAAGGAAGGTCTGTGCATGTATATAAATAAATAAATGAAAGTTATGTATATCAGCCCATAAATACAAGATGATCAACAACCATAACACCTCACAGCTTGGCCCAGTAGCCTGGTGGTTACAGGAGTCTAACTTGGCTACAATGATGCCAGTGATGTTAACAGATGTAATGGTGAAAAGAAAGTTTCCTATATCAGGTATTTGTAGATTTAAAAATAAATGTTGGTGGTATGGCATTAATAGATTGTAATGCTTGTAGGAGTTTATAAATGGTTTAGCTGTCTCTGAAGAGTTGGGTGTCTCCTGTGCAGACGTTAATCATCTCAGGTTATTGTCACCAGTACGGTATCACATCTTTTACTAGACATTATTGAAGGTATATTTTGGTCTGTTATGTGAGGCATCTTATATACTGTAAAATAAGAAAGATATGTTACTAGTATTACATCTTTTACTAGACATTATTGAAGGTATATTTTGGTGTGTTTGGTAATGCGTCTTTGGGGTCGTGGGATTAAACTTATTTGTCCCATAAGTTATTTGTTTCAATTTGTCAGATTTTGTTCATTACGGCAGTTTTCTGGAACCTAACCCCCGTGATTATCAAGGATACACGATAATGTTTCTTAGCATTGTTAAATAAATACATGTGTGTATGGGCCGTTTCATTGTAGTTCCTCATATATTAACATTATAATGATGGGTGTCTCTCGTAAGTAAGATAAATACTGTAGGAAAAACCAATGTATCCATAGACGGCTTCAGTCATCTTGTGTTAAATGATACGAAACATTAACATATTACTATAAGAATTATTATGGTGGATTTGTTTAAATGAAAAAGACTCTTATTGTGAACTGAAAACAACGTAAGGTGGATGTGAGGATAAACTGCTTCACTGTCCGTGTTATATAATATTAACGTTACTTTTGGGTTAGGTACGATATAAATTATGACCCGCAGAAAAATACTTACATCATAATGCAACCCATGACTGAGGACAGGTTGCCCATGACTGAGGACAGGTTGCCCATGACTGAAGACAGGTTGCCCATGACTGAGGACAGGTTGCCCATGACTGAGGACAGGTTGCCCATGACTGAGGACAGGTTGCCCATGACTGAGGACAGGTTGCCCATGACTGAGGACAGGTTGCCCATGACTGAAGACAGGTTGCCCATGACTGAGGACAGGTTGCCCATGACTGAGGACAGGTTGCCCATGACTGAGGACAGGTTGCCCATGACTGAGGACAGGTTGCCCATGACTCAAGAGACATTGGTTGAACATGTCAATTTACCAATACCTGTACAGTATTGATAAATAGATTGACAGGTATACAACAGATAAAACACTTTCTTTTTCTTTATTTTTTAATTTTTTACGGGAATTAGTCCACCCGGGCGCAGGTGAAACGACCCACAACGGTGCCTGGGGGGCGAAGAAAAAGGAACAGAAAGAAATTGAAAATACAGTAGAGAACAAAAAGGTTATACTGTATTGTGTTAATATACACCACGAAGATGCCGGAAAACCAGCTTTTTAAAGTGAGACAGATTGTATAAGTATGGAAACACAGAAGACGGCAGAGCATTCCACAGTGTAAGGAAAGAAGGATGTACTATAATGGGTTATCATAGTGTGACCCACATCCACAGAGAAAAACGGTGGGCACCGCGGGCAAGACGTGTGTTACGAACCCACGGCCTTGCCGGCGCTACACAGGATGCCAAGTCCACCAAACATTGCCAGTTAAAGTACCTGTAAAAGAGAGAGAGTGAAGCAACATTGCGGCGAAGAGAAGAGAGATTGTCGACTAAAGGAGGAGAGTTAATAAGCCTTTGATTCCAGCCTATCTAACAGTTGAAGAGCCACCCCAGATATGAGAGCAGTACTCCAAGTAAGGACGAATGAATCCCTTATATACTTGGAGCAACTGCTCAGGAGTGAAGTAGCTACGGCATCTGTACAGCATTCCCAACTTTCGGGAGGCAGCTTTAGCTATACTAAGGATGTGTGATAGCGTCCTGAAATGTAATTGGTGGGAGATCATCTAATTTACAAAGTGTAATTGGTAAATATTGAGTTTTGTTACTATTGAAGTTGACCAAGTTTGTACCTCCCCATTCAGAGATGCTGCACAGATCTGCATTGATAGAAGTAATGATATCAGTTCTAGAAACAGATCTAGTTTGAGAGTTAGGAGGAAGGGGAAAATGTGAAGAAGAGTGAAGAGTGGAATCATCAGCGTAAGAATGGATAGAATTAGTTGTAGTGTGAAGTAAATCATTGATAAAAAGAAGGAAGAGAGTTGGTGAAAGAACAGAACCCTGTGGGACGCCACTACTGGTAGAGAAAGAGCGAGAGATCGAACCCTCGACAACAACTGCCATGGATCAGTTCTCAAGGAAGCTAGAGATGAGAGAACAAAGTGGGGAGAGAAACCAAAAGAGGGAAGTTTAGATAGCAAAGACTTGTGCCATACCCTGTCAAATGCTTTGGAGATGTTGAGGGCCACGACTAAAGTTTCCCCATAATCCCTAAGAGAGGATGACCAAAGATGGGTGCAATAGGAGAGCAGATCACCAGTAGATCTCGCCTGGCGAAAGCCATACTGGTGATCCGACAAAAGAGAAAAGCGTTCAAGGTGACGAAGAAAATGGGAGTTCAAGATAGTTTCGAAAATCTTAGAGAGGGATGAAGTTAGGGCAATGGGGCGATAGTTAGAGGGGTTAGAATGGTCACCCTTCTTCGGGATGGGCTGAACCAAGGCATGCTTCCAAGAAGAAGGAAAAGTTTGGGTTTTGAGGCAAAGGCGAAAGAGGCGAGCAAGCACAGGGGCCAGGGCTTCAGCACACTCCCTCAGAACACGAGGGGGTATTCCGTCCGGTCCATGCGCCTTACTCACATCCAACCTGGAAGAATTAGTCAGGACAGCGATCTTTCTTTTACTAAAATTCCGCTTGTCCCTACGAAGAATAGCCTTACAATGATTCCTAGAAGTAATGAAAGAGGTGTGGGTAATAGGAGAAGGAGATAGTTTCATAGCTCGATATGCCCTATCTCTCACCCTGCAAGCAAGAGAGCAGGAGCGATCAAACCATGATTGTAATGTGAGTTAGATATTGACAGAATATACTAAAGGCGCAAAGACAGACAGACAGGTAAGTAGACAGAGAGATATAAATGGGAGACAGACAAATGACTCCTTTAGTTTACCTTGCCATATGTGGTAGTGTTGTGGTGGTGGTCATTGTTCTACCACAGCTTACATCTCAGAAATGCCAGTCTTGACCCGACATTAGGGGGGTCAAGTGTAGGGTAACTCTCACGGTTGACCAAGGTTTATAAATCAGCCAGGCTCCCCTCCCATGTCACACGGCCTCAACAAACATGTAAGAAGGCACCGGCCGACTCTCTCCCAATATACAATAACCTACATCGCAGAGAGAGTCCAGACCTGACCTCACATTAGCCAGGTCAAATGTAACCCTCGGAGCCCAACTCAAGGGGCCACAAATCAACCAGGGCCTCTCATGTCACACGGCCCCACCTGATGACTTCTCCAGAAAATACAACTTATAGTCTCTGAAAACGTCCAGACCTGACCCTACATTAGCGGGGGCAAATATAAGGAGACCCTTCGCCGCTGCCCCCCCCCCCGATCAGCTCAACCTGACGGCTCGCCTCCCAATATATAGGACGTGCTAGTCCTCCCTCGGGACTTTTCGCAGAGAGAGATACCCAGAGGCACACAGGCAGAGACAGAGAGAGAGTGTGTCTTGTAACAAGGTGGCCAGCTACCACGTCCCCGAGTCCTGCTCGAGAGAAGTCAGGGGCCGGAGGCAAGTCGCCTCCGGTCAGGACCGAGACTTCCCTCCGGCGCCCAGCTAAGCAGTCTCCCATAGAGACAACCCAGGACTACCTGCTAGGCCTCCCCTAGGTCACGTGAGTGTTTGTCAGAGCTTTCCATGGGATGAGTTACCTACGTGGGAAGTGTATTCATTTCATGTTCGTGTCCGAGAATCAGAGTGTCTAGTAACGTAATATGATGTCCTAGTAACGTAAATATAATGTCCTAGTAACTTCAATAGAAGGTGTTATTAATGTGTCCATGTCATGTTCGTAATTAATAAAGAGTTGTAACGAAGCGGTGTTTGAGAAGTCGCCCTTAAGACGTAATAGATGTGTATTGACGTATAAGATACGATAAGTGTAAATAACTATCATGGCCACGCTACCAAATCTTCCTCTCTTTTATACTCTTATACTATCAATATTCTACCTATATGTAATCTTCTTCTTGTGAGATTTGTCTCATTACATCTGTCTCAGTCTGTAGTTATCATTTTCAGTTGTTATGGCGCTGTTCAATTCCCCAAGGGTCGTTAACTCATCTGTAACAAACAAAAAAATTCAATTTACACAAGTTTATGATAAAAAAAATGTCCATAAATTAATAGTCATGAAGATGTGTGTTTGATACAAGTTGGTTTATATCAACTTTCTTGGGACTGTAAACCTTCCATGCTTGACATTTTTGCCTTAATATTCCCAAGTAAATTAGTGGTACATTAATACAGTAGTTTAGACAGACAGACAGACAGGTAGAATCCCAGTTACCGGCACCTAAGGGGATTCAGAGGCGCCACATTAACAGGTTTTCCCGTTAGTTCAAACTAGCTCTTGGGATCCCTCAACAAACCCTACAACGCTCACCTAGCAAATTCATGTCTCAGAAAACCAATATTTTTTACCACTTATTAAACTCTATGTAAATGATGTGGCTTATAAATACATAAAGCAACACAGAGGGACAACTTTACATGCTGATTAAGGATCTGTTCACAGGTTAATAATTAAGGTAATTGGTGTTAATTAATGACTCTTGGAATAATTAAAGATATTTAGAATATTTTAAAACATTAATTACGCTGTGGCTGTAAGTTATAAGTCACCTTTATATACATTCTCTAAATAATAAATAGACACCGACAGATACTGGTGAGCCATAGACATACAGTACCGTATGTATCACCGACAGATACTGGTGAGCCATAGACATACAGTACCGTATGTATCACCGACAGATACTGGTAAGCCATAGACATACAGTACCGTATGTATCACCGACAGATACTGGTGAGCCATAGACATACAGTACCGTATGTATCACCGACAGATACTGGTGAGCCATAGACATACAGTACCGTATGTATCACCGACAGATACTGGTGAGCCATAGACATACAGTACCGTATGTATCACCGACAGATACTGGTGAGCCATAGACATACAGTACCGTATGTATCACCGACAGATACTGGTGAGCCATAGACATACAGTACCGTATGTATCACCGACAGATACTGGTGAGCCATAGACATACAGTACCGTATGTATCACCGACAGATACTGGTGAGCCATAGACATACAGTACCGTATGTATCACCGACAGATACTGGTGAGCCATAGACATACAGTACCGTATGTATCACCGACAGATACTGGTGAGCCATAGACATACAGTACCGTATGTATCACCGACAGATACTGGTGAGCCATAGACATACAGTACCGTATGTATCACCGACAGATACTGGTGAGCCATAGACATACAGTACCGTATGTATCACCGACAGATACTGGTGAGCCATAGACATACAGTACCGTATGTATCACCGACAGATACTGGTGAGCCATAGACATACAGTACCGTATGTATCACCGACAGATACTGGTGAGCCATAGACATACAGTACCGTATGTATCACCGACAGATACTGGTGAGCCATAGACATACAGTACCGTATGTATCACCGACAGATACTGGTAAGCCATAGACATACAGTACCGTATGTATCACCGACAGATACTGGTGAGCCATAGACATACAGTACCGTATGTATCACCGACAGATACTGGTGAGCCATAGACATACAGTACCCATTATGTATCACCGACGAATACTGGTGAGCCATAGACATACAGTACCGTATGTATCACCGACAGATACTGGTGAGCCATAGACATACAGTACCGTATGTATCACCGACAGATACTGGTGAGCCATAGACATACAGTACCGTATGTATCACCGACAGATACTGGTAAGCCATAGACATACAGTACCGTATGTATCGGCGCATAAGACGGAATTTGAACCCAAAAAAAATCAGCCCAAATTAGGGTCGTCTTAAACGCCTGGTATAAAGTCCGAACCTCTACATCCTGTGGTTTAGTCTTCGCCGGTGGTGGTGAAACATTAAAACACTCGGTATATTAAAATACCGTATACTGTATACTCGTCTATAATTCTACCTCGTTTATAGGTCGACCCAAGTTTTGAGGTAATGGAACAACAAAACCTTCAGTAAAAACACTCTACGTCCTATAAACTGAGGCTGCTAGTGCCTGAAACACCAAGTGCCGAAGGCAAATTGTTTGCCATTTATTATTACGACACTTTACACTGAAAGGCGGGTAGTTTCAACAAAAATATTGTATATTTCCATTCAAGTCAATTAGGAGGGAATATTATTGTAATACAACAGCTTTTTAACTGAAAACCATTCGAAAAGCGATTACGGTAACATCTTTTGAACTACAAAAGAAAGCAATGTTGACATTGTTTGAATCCAGCATGGGGCCTAAGAGATCAAGAAAAGCGATTTCAATCCAAACCAAGCAGGAAATTATAAGAAAACATGAAAAAGGCATTAGAACAAATGCGCTATGCAAAGAATATGGCATGTAGACATCAACTGTGTCGACAATTCTTGCACAGAAAGACAAATTTAAAGAAGTGAAAGTGAGAGACAAATCTACCAGAGTGTTTAAAGGTAGATCCCTAATTGCAGAAACTGAGAGGTTACTTATCATCTGGATTAGGGAAAAACAGATGGTGATTCAGTTTGTGAAAGAGCCAGGAGATTTACGAACATTTAAAGGCAGATCAACTTGGTTCTTCAGGCACAGAATTTGATGATTTTCAGGCCAGCAAAAGCTGGTTCAAAATTTAAGAAAGAAGTGACATTTTCAGTGTTGTTAGGCATGGTGAAGCTGCTAGTGCTGATAAAGAAGGGCAGCAAAGTTTTTAGTGGAATTTAAAGAACTCATGGAAGAAGAAAATTATCTTCCCCAGCAAGTGTTCAATGGACGAAACTGGGCTGTTCTGGAAAAGATGCCCAAAAGAACATTCATCACCAGAGATGAAGCCTCTTTACCTGGGCATAAACCAATGAAAGACCGTCTCACTCTATTGCTTGGTGCCAATGTTTCAGGGATTTCGACTGAAGCCCATGCTTGTCTACCACTCTGAGAACCCCAGGTGTACAAGCAACAGAAAGTGGTAAGAACAAAGCAGTTTATTGGAGGTCCAACCGTAGGCATGGGTGACAAGACAGCTCTTTAATGAATGGGCTGTTGATGTGTTTTGCCCTTCTGTCAAGAGCTACCTAACCACCAATAAACTCCTTTAAAGGCTCTTCTCCTCATGGATAATGCTCCTGGTCATGACCCTGACCTTGCCAGCAATTTGGAGTATCAATTTGACTTTGTCAAAGTGTTGTTTTTGCCTCCCAACACTACATCAATCATACAGCCAATGGACCAGAATGTGATCAGCAACTTCAAGAAGTTGTACATGAAGAAAATGTTTAGGAGGTGTCATCAGGCAACTTCCACTGATCCTGAAATAACACTGAAACAGTTCTGTGAGACACAATTCAACGTCCTGGAGGCTGTAAAATTGATCATGATCATGGCAAGAAGTCTCCACTAGATCCCTCAATTCTGCATGGAAAGCACGTGGCCATCAGTAGTCCATGATTTTGAGGATTGAGGAAGAAACAGAGTTGGACTAGAGATTGTGTCCATTGGTCAGTCATTGGGCCTTGAAGTGGAGGAGGAGGATGTGGAAGAGCTTGTGATGTCTCATGAGGAGGAACTTACTCCTGATGACTTGAAGCAACTGGATGAGATGTTACAGGTGAGGCTGACAGTGGTGAGAGGAGGAAATGTTAAGACCATATGTCAGCTAAACAGTTGAAACATGTGATTTACTACTGGGAGAAGTCCAGGAACTGGCTTCAAAGCACCCAGATGTGGGAAAAACTGAACTAACTTTGTGTCTCCTTCTTTAAACATAAGTTAATGGTGAGGAGGACAGATGCCCCACAGACCACATTGACACTTTTTCAGTAAAGGCAGAGGAACAAGATGCCATCCTCAGCCTTCCACTTCAAGAAGGAGAGAGATGATGCTAGCCCTCAGCCTTCCACTTCAAGAAGGAGAGAGGATGTTCATGAGGGAGAATCTGTCAGTCCAGAGGTTCAACATTTTCATGGAAGGTGACTCACCTTCCAAGAAATGCTTCTCCTCCACTTCCTTCTCTTCTCCCTTCTCCTCCTCCCACTTCAAATTCACATCATCATCACCATCCAGGAGCCTTCTACATACACACCTCAAGCTAAGTGTCAATTTCTAAAATTTTTGTTGAATTTAGGCAATTTTCGGTGAGCTGGAAACAATTACCCAAAAACCCATTGAAACAATGGTTTCGGTTAACACGATTTTCGGTTAAGGAGCAACCTGCTGGAACGGATTGTGCTCGTTAACCGAGGGACCACTGTATACAGTACTGTACAGTGTATTATATTATACAGAAACTCGCACATCTCCAAACATTTAAATACAATCTTATGGTCAAAGAAATAATTTTTCCATAAAACTTAATGAAGTAAAAATAAAAAAAACTCCCAAATCTTACCTCAATGGTTGACACGAGGAACTTCAGTTATTAACCATGATCAGTGAGGCAGCAATATGGTGGCTGTCTTAACACTACAGTAACCACCAGCTGAAGCCGTCACCTGTAAAGTGAATAAATAAAATTAATAAAACTGGTATAAAGACAAAATATGAATAAATTGTATAAAAAATAATAAAATATGGATACTTCATGGCATTGTAGTCTCACTCCCAATCGAGATCTAGCAAATTTGGCTTCACTAGAAGTTAAATCTGGTCAATTGCAACAACTTGATAATACCACTTGAGTCACTAATGGGTAATAACATACATGGTAAATTAACTCGAGGAAATCTAAAATATTAATTACATAGGGTTAATTCTTATAACTGCTGATATTGACATTTAGTGGTCGCACAAGATGATATGGTGTAGCTTAGGTTTAAATGCCACCAAATACAATAAGAAAAACAGATTACTGGCCAAGGAAACCCAACATTCTTAAATAACGGCCAATTTTTTTATCTTAAATAAAATTGACCCAAAATCACCTCAAATGGATGACAGGAGCTTAACTACCATCTACGTTAAATACCAGCAAGGCAGTAACGAGGTGGTAGTCCACCACACGAGCTGCTGGATCCTTTATTTGTAAAAGAATAATTCATAATGTGTAAAAACTCGAATAAAGACTAAATATTAATGTAAAATATGAATAAATTTTTTAAAACTATAATAGGAAGTTCTTGTTAATGGCTGCTCATTTATTACCCAGGACTAACTACTCCTACTTTATCATGGCAGTAAACTAACAAAAGTAACCTAACTTATATAAAAGTACTAAAATCCCTAAACTTCGGGAAAATTATTAAAAAAACTACAGAACTAAGATAAGTCTGTCAAAACACAAACACACAAAAGTACCAAAACTTTTTCATAAGGAACCAAAATAAGTCAAATTATCATAAAATTGATAAAAACTACAGAAATTTAAAAGTTTATCTAAAAAATAACAAACTAAAAGTAACGTCAAGTAACTTATTCCACAAGTAACAAAACTTATCAAACGTAAAAGTAACAAATACTCAACAGGAAAGTAATAAAATACCTCAAACTATCAAACTATTTCCTTAACATTGTTCCATTGACAATTTCCTCCAGTAGTTTACATTAATAAGCAGCAGCAGTTATTGGTCCACTTGCCTTCACCGTCTACCCAATACCTACACCACACACCTGCACCATAAACACACTATATACCTGCACCACAAACACACACTATACCTGCACCATATACGTACACCACACACCTGCACCATAAACACACTATATATCTGCACCATAAACACACTATATACCTGCACCATACACCTAAACTATACACCTGCACCAAAAATATCCCCTATACACCTACACCACACCTGCACTATACCTGCACCACACCAGCACCACACCTGGACTACACCTACACCACACCAACACTATACCAGAACCAAACCAGCACTATACCTGCACTATACCAGCACCACACCAACACTATACCTGCACCACACCAGCACTATACCTGCACCACACCAGCACTATACCTGCACCACACCAGCATTACACCTGCACTACACCTGCACCACACCAGCACTACACCTGCACCACACCAGCACCACACCTGCACCACACACCAGCACTACACCTGCACCACACCAGCACTACACCTGCACCACACCAGCACCTATACCTGCACCACACCAGCACTACACCTGTACCACACACCAGCACTACACCTGCACCACCAGCAATACCTGCACCACATCAGCGCCACACCTGCACCACACCAGCACCACACCTGCACCACACCAGCACCACACCTGCACCACACACCATCACCCCACACCTGCACCACACCAGCACTATACCTGCACCACACCAGCACCACACCTGCACCACACACCAGCACCACACCTGCACCACACCAGCACTACACCTGCACCACACACCAGCACACACCTGCACCACACCATCACTCTACACCTCACCAGCACTATACCTGCACCACACCAGCACTACACCTGCACCACACCAGCACCACACCTGCACCACACAGCACTACACCTGCACCACACCAGCACTACACCTGCACCACACCAGCACTACACCTGCACCACACCAGCACTACACCGCACCACACACCAAAGCACTACACCTGCACCACAACACCATCACTCTACACCTCACCAGCACTATACCTGCAACAACACCAGCACAACCACAACCGCACCACACCACCACCATACCACACCAGCACTACACCTGCACCACACCAGCACTACACCTGCACCACACCAGCACCACACCTGCACCACACACCAGCACTACACCTGCACCACACCAGCACCCACCCGCACCACACACCAGCACCACACCTGCAACCACACACCATCACTCTACACCTCACCAGCACTATACCTGCACCACACCAGCACTACACCTGCACCACACCAGCACCACACCTGCACCACACCAGCACTATACCTGCACCACACCAGCCAGCCATAACCTGCACCACACCAGCAATCACACCTGCACCACACCAGCACTACACCTGCACCACACCATCAGCCCACACCTGCACCACACCAGCACTACACCTGCACCACACCATCAGTCCACACCTGCACCACACCAGCACTATACCTGCACCAACAAGCACCACACCTGCACCAAACCAGCACCATACCTGCACCAACAACCCTATACCTGCACCACACCAGCACTACACCTGCACCACACCAGCACCACACCTGCACCACACCAGCACTACACCTGCACCACACACCATCACTCTACACCAGCACTATACCTGTACCACACCAGCACTACACCTGGACCACACCAACCCCATACCCACACCACACACCAGCACTACACCTGCACCACACCAGCACTACACCTGCACCACACACCATCACTCACACCAGCACCACACCATCACTATACCTGCACCACACCAGCACTACACCTACACCACACCAGCACTACACCTGCACCACACCAGCACTACACCTGCACCACAACAGCACTATACCTGCACCACACCAGCACTACACCTGCACCACACCAGCACTATACCTGCACCACACCATCACTACACCTGCACCACACCAGCACTACACCTGCACCACACACCATCACTACACTTGCACCATACCTGTACCACACCAGCACCACACCAGCACCATACCAGCACCACACCAGCATTACACCTGCACCACACACCATCACCACACCTGCACCATACCTGCACTATACCAGCACCACACCAGCACCACACACCTGCACCACACCAGCACACACCTGCACCACACCAGCAGTACACCTGCACCACACCAGCATACACCTGCACCACACCATCACTACACCTGCACCACACCTGCACTATACCAGCACCACACCAGCACCACACCTGCACCACACCAGCATTACACCTGCACCACACCAGCAGCACACCTGCACCACACCAGCACTACACCTGCACCACACACCATCACTCTACACCAGCACTATACCTGTACCACACCATCACTACACCTGCACCACACCTGCACTATACCAGCACCACACCAGCACCACACCTGCACCACACCAGCATTACACCTGCACCACACCAGCAGTACACCTGCACCATACACCTATATACAACGCATCAATAAATCCTAATTGACACAGGTCACTGACCCACATCAGGGCCTGGAGGCGAAAATAACAACAACAATAATAATAATAATAATAATAATAATAATAATAATAGTAATAATAGTAATAATAATAATAATAATAATAATAATAATAATAATAATAATAATAACAATAATAATAATAATAATAATAATAATAATAATAATAATAATAATAATAATAATAATAATAACAATAATAATAATAATAATAATAATAATAATAATAATAATAATAATAATATTAATAATAATAATAATAATAATAATAATACAGCAGTAATAATAATAATAATAATAATAATAATAATAAAAATAATAACAATAATAATAATAATAATAATAATAATAATAATAATAATAATAATGTTAATAATAATGTTAATAATAATAATGTTAATAATAATAATAAGAATAATAATAATAATAACAATAATAATAATAATAATAATAATGTTAATAATAATAATAATAATAATAATAATAATAATAATACAGTAATAATAATAATAATAATAATAATAATAATAATAATAATAATAACAATAATAATAATAATATTGTTAATAATAATAATAATAATAATAATAATGTTAATAATAATAATAATAATAATAATAACAATAATAATAATAATAATAATAATAATAACAATAATAATAATAATAATAATAATAATGTTAATAATAATGTTAATAATAATAATAATAATAATAATAATACAGTAGTAATAATAATAATAATAATAATAATAATAATAACAATAATAACAATAATAATAATAATAATAATAATAATAATAATAATAATGTTAATAATAATGTTAATAATAATAATGTTAATAATAATAATAACAATAATAATAATAATAACAATAATAGTAATAATAATAATAATGTTAATAATAATAATAATAATAATAATAATAATAATAATAATAATAATAATAATAATAACAATAATAATAATAATAATAATAATAATAATACAGTAGTAATAATAATAATAATAATGTTAATAATAATAATGTTAATAATAATAATAATGTTAATAATAATAATCCAAAGTGAGAAACAATATAGCCTATGTATGTTGTAAGAGACACACTGGAGACCCTGTAAAGTGAGCTCATCAACCTGAGACTTGGTCACAGGGTCAACCATTATGCTTCCAATATCTTCCAGGCGGTAGTACCTCCCTGCCTACTACCTACGACACATCTATAGCTAAAATATATACCAAATATCGTTAAATAAACACTTAAAACTATTGAATAGAACTTAACAAGTATTTAGTTACAATTAATACATACCGTAGAAGAAACGTGGAGTAAGATGTAGAGCTCAGAGCGACACACTGCCTCGACTGTCTCCTGGAGGTAACTGAACTGTTTGCACGTCATAGACCCTCCTCCTTCCACCCACCACGTCGTCCAAATGGTTAACTCTAATACAAACTTCATCGTATATACAGATTTTAATATAAGTTTATGGTCAATTAAGTAATTTAAATAAATTAGAAATTTACGTAAGAAATTAAATATCCAATTCAAATTCCAAACATTTATTGACCATTACACCAAAAGGAGCTGGTCAGTATGTTAACTCGCCCTCCCAAAACAAGTCTTAACAAGAGCTCTTTAACATTCTACTAATCCTAAAACAGATATGCATAAAATCTACAATCTTATGTTAAACTTACAGAACTTTTTCCTAATATTCTTAACCATATCTTTGTTTATTAAATAACAAACCGTCTCTGTAATATCAGTAATGAGGCAGAAAGTGAGATCATCAACCTGAGACTTGGTCACATATGGCAGCAGGGTCTGCCATTACACAACACATGGGCAGTTGTCAATTCTCTTTAGTTATCTATTGTCTCTTTGTATGGGCATATGTGGCGTACTGTTGTGGCAGGTTGTCAGGGCCTCTTATTGGCCTCACAACGGACGTACATGTAACATATCCAACACTCAGGATTGTGGTACAATAGAAAGTCACAATGTGTTTCCCGTATATATATATATATATATATATATATATATATATATATATATATATATATATATATATATATATATATATATATATATATTGTTGCACAGCACAGTGTTAAAGAGATACTAGGGCGGGCATAGCTTGCTCAGAGTTCCTGTAGGGCGAGGAGCTTTCTGAGGGAGCGTGTGGTGTGGAGCTGTTGAGAGATGTTGCTTGCTGGTGACGGTAAGTAGAAAGAGGTGGATGACGGCCAGGTGAGGCTTGATGGTTGGCCCCCGCTTTGTTCGGCGTATTTATACAATTTAGAAACATCAGGATTTGGGGTGCGCGTAGCGTGAGAGCCAATCACAGAGGAGGAGGCCAGGAATCCCCGGCACTCTGGTCCTAGCGTTGCTGTGCGTCCTCAGTGGAGAGTAGGTCTACCAGCATCGCTGGCTGTACGCTCATTGGCTGGTAGGTGCGCGGGAGCTCAGTCGTCACTTGTAGGGGATGGGATCCACTACAATACTCCCCTTCCCCTCCGGGCGCGGCGGAAGGCTGGAGGTTGGCAGGGTTGCGTCCCACAAGTGATACATACCGGACAGGTGTATGTATGACTCTGTCTGGAGACACGAGATCTGTGGGAGAAGCAGAGGTAGGAGGAGGGTTTTGGGTAAGAGGAGGTTGTACAGGCAATGGTTGTTGTGCTCCTGTCGCGGCAGGGGCAGCGTCACTGGCTGGGTAGACTGCGTCAGGGCAGGGGCCATGACAGCAACAGGGTCTACGACAACAGCAGGGTGCAGGACAGGAACAGGGGGTACCTGAGGGTGGAAAGAGGGTGCCCAGAAATGTCGTGGGCGAGGTGGTGCTGCAAGGGGTAATGGTGGGCAGACTGGCGGAGGAGGTGCGGAATTAACGTGTTCAGGGCGGTGGGAAGGCTGGCGTGGGGCAGTAGCCTTGAATGCAGAAACCGCCTGACGTAGTGTTTGTAGTAGGTCGTGACGGGCAGCAGGAGTGAAGTGGTCAAGGTCAGAAGTAAGGCCTTGTGATGTGTGTCGCTTCGCCGTGTAGGTGCAGTGGGGCTCACAGCGTTGAGCGTTGGAGCCGAAACGTCTGTGATACCAGCATAGGGTAGACCCGTTGTGCTGGGGGCTGGCGGCGGTTTCCGGGGCAGGAGAGGCGCGTCGGGGATTGTAGGGCGCTGTGCGTGAGTCAGGAACGGGCCCAGCAGCAGGCATGGAGAAGCAGAACTGTTCAATGGAGTCCATCCTGCGGTTCAAAGTCTGCAACAGGTCCCTGATGTCTTGTGAGGTATTGGTCATCTGTGGAGCGCTGGTCAGGTTGACGAAACCGGAAGAAAGTGAGAGCGTAGCCGCGGAGTTGTGGGCGGACGCATGGTGCACAGCAGTGTATTCGTGGAATATTCTGTCTGCCGAGGGTGCATAGAGTTCTGGTGTTGTAGAGTAATCTACTGTGGACAGGGTGACGCATACCTGTGTGGGGAGCTTTTGTGCGTGAAGCTGGTGCAGGATAGAGTCGGGGAGTCTGTCTGTGTGACGGGAGTTCAGCCTACACATCTCCTCCCAGAGACGTCCCGGGGAAGAGTTTCCAAGGGAGATAGAAGATAGGTCTTGCAGGAGATTGGGGCGGGTCTGTTGATAAGGCGTCCTCAAGGCATCCCACAGGTTAGCGAATTTGTTGTCATCTGGAGGGTTGGAAATGGTCTGTGAGACCTGTGTGGCGACTTCCGTGGGCAAGGCACACAGCAGGGCGCCGTACTTTTGCTCGTCAGTATAGCTTGTGAACCGATGAGGGCTGCTTCCACATGAACTAACCAGTCCTCGACGTTGTGGTTGAAGGTTGGTAGAGAGATCCGTCCGTCCATTCTTGCGGAAGTGCGTCAAACCTGTTGGGGAAGGACGAGGGATGGGAGCGTGTTCCGACCCCCTTCCGTGTTCACAATCTCCTGGGAGGGAGGTGAACAGTTGCAGGGGGGACTTTGGGACGAATACACTTTTTAGGGTGCAGGTCCTTAGGTCAGAACCAAAGACTATATACAAAAGACAGGAACTAAACGAATCGCTGTGATCATTAGCTCTCTGTTTGTAGACCTTAAAAGTACCTTTGATAAGGCAAATAAGGAAGTGATCTTAGAAAGTCTTGTAAGTAAAGGTATAAAAGGGAAATTATTGATGTGGATTACAGATTACTGTACTTAACTAACAGAAAAGCGAGTGTCTGGTTTCAAGGTCATGAAACGGAAGAAAAAAAATCTAGGGTTGGGTACCCCACAAGGTGGCGTTCTTAGCCCTATGCTATTTAATATTCTTAAGGACAGAATAGCTAGTTACAAATTCCAGAGCGAATCCCAAGTAATCATTAATGCTGATGACATTCTAATCCAATGTAAGAATGAGGAAGATATGTCTAGGGTCATTGATCAGCTGCAGTATCGTTGTCCCTCCTTGGGACTGGTCATAAATGAAAATAAAACCAAATTTCAGTGAAGGGCAGTAAATGGAAAAGAATTTTGGTTAAATGGAATAAAATTACAAAAAGAATCCAGTCACAATTATCTGGGAATGTTTGTGGGTATAAACAATAATGTTAAGGATGAAATTACTTATGTTCACTATATATGTAAAGTGAGGCTAAAACCTCTGAAAGTTGTGTCAAATAGAGCAAATGGTGTTGGTATACCAGTTTTAAGATCTATGTACCTATATAAAGATAAAGAGGAAAAAAGAACAGTACTTAGCTGTCCTCTGCTCTGGCTTTAAACCTTCCCTGTTGCCTTTAGAGTTGTCCTGTTTCCTTTTCAGTTCACTTCGGCGTTTGTCGGCATTATGTGCCATCTCTATGTACACTGCATTTTGCTATGAATAACTGATTTTATACACCCACTCAGTCCTTTAGAAACACAGAAATATAAAATACAAATTTCTTTGGAGCGATAATAGAATGCCTTTAAGAATAGCCAAGCTTGTTGATTTTATTTTTTATTTCAACTAGTATTTCCTTATACTTTCTTTTCCTGTATCTCTTTGTGCTATGATTGTGAACACTGTATCTACCTGTGAATGGTGTATTGTAGGCACAGTTTCAGTCCATGAGAAAGCACACAAACAAAATAAAATTTAAAGTCTCTGTTGCACCTGTAACACGACTTGGTTTCAGCTGTTGGTGGTGCCTTTCCAGCTTGCTTGCCAGTTTGTATTCACTTTAAGTTATTTACAACCTCTTCCCCGGTCACCGATGACACTATGAACTGATTTACATAAAATCACAGTACTACTCTCCCTGGTTGGCCTTTATCACAGCCGTGACCAAAACTCCGTAAAAATAAAAGTTTTGTCATATGGCCGTGATTTTGTGGTTGTAGGCCTCCTGACCTGGGCTGTACCTCCAACTCGGTGGAAATTGAGTTTTCAAAAATACAATCACGTCTAACACTAAAACATCTACATCGATTTACACTTTCACATAACTAAGACGATCTTGATGTTCTTATGTAATCTCTGTCAAATTCCTGCCGCTCAACATCGAAGGTCCAAATGCCGAACACCTGTTACAGAGACGCAACACGACCCAACCTGCTCGCCTTAAACGTATTAGTCACTTAATACTTGGGTTTACTTCTTAACTTAGGGTCTAGTAGTGTGTTTAGTCTCGCAGTGTGAGTTTAGTCTAGCAGTGTGAGTATAGTCTAGCAGTGTGAGTTTAGTCTAGCAGTGTGAGTATAGTCTAGCAGTGTGAGTTTAGTCTAGCAGTGTGAGTATAGTCTAGCAGTGTGAGTTTAGTCTAGCAGTGTGAGTATAGTCTAGCAGTGTGAGTTTAGTCTAGCAGTGTGAGTATAGTCTAGCAGTGTGAGTTTAGTCTAGCAGTGTGAGTATAGTCTAGCAGTGTGAGTTTAGTCTAGCAGTGTGAGTATAGTCTAGCAGTGTGAGTTTAGTCTAGCAGTGTGAGTATAGTCTAGCAGTGTGAGTTTAGTCTAGCAGTGTGAGTTTAGTCTAGCAGTGTGAGTTTAGGTTAATAGTGTGAGCATAGGCTAGCAGTGTGAGTTTTGTCTAACAGTGTGAGTATAGTCTAGCAGTGTGAGTATAGTCTAGCAGTGTGAGTTTAGTCTAGCAGTGTGAGTTTAGTCTAGCAGTGTGAGTTTAGTCTAGCAGTGTGAGTTTAGGTTAATAGTGTGAGTTTAGTCTAGCAGTGTGAGTTTAGTCTAGCAGTGTGAGTTTAGTTAATAGTGTGAGCATAGGCTAGCAGTGTGAGTTTAGTCTAACAGTGTGAGTTTAGTCTCGCAATGTGAGTTTAGTCTAGCAGTGTGAGTTTCGTCTAACAGTGTGAGTTTCGTTTAACAGTGTGAGTTTCGTCTCGCAGTGTGAGTTTAGTCTCGCAGTGTGAGTTTAGTCTAACAGTGTGAGTATAGTCTAGCAGTGTGAGTTTAGTCAAGCAGTGTGAGTTTAGTCTAACAGTGTGAGTATAGTCTAGCAGTGTGAGTTTAGTCTAACAGTGTGAGTTTATCAACAGTGTGAGTATAGTCTAGCAGTGTGAGTTTAGTCTAACAGTGTGAGTTTAGTCTAACAGTGTGAGAATAGTCTAACAGTGTGAGTTTAGTCTAACAGTGTGAGTTTCGTTTAACAGTGTGAGTTTAGTCTAACAGTGTGAGTTTCGTCTAACAGTGTGAGTTTCGTTTAACAGTGTGAGTTTCGTCTAACAGTGTGAGTTTAGTCTAGCAGTGTGAGTTTCGTCTAACAGTGTGAGTTTCGTCTAACAGTGTGAGTTTCATCTAACAGTGTGAGTTTAGTCTAGCAGTGTGAGTTTCGTCTAACAGTGTGAGTTTAGTCTAACAGTGTGAGTTTAGTCTAACAGTGTGAGTTTAGTCTAACAGTGTGAGTTTAGTGTAACAGTGTGAGTTTAGTCTAACAGTGTGAGTTTCGTTTAACAGTGTGAGTTTAGTCTAGCAGTGTGAGTTTCGTCTAACAGTGTGAGTTTAGTCTAGCAGTGAGAGTTTGTGTTTTTCATTAATCAAAGTTGAGGGTGG